TTTTCCCCATGATATAATTTATATTTGTTCCCCATGATATATATTTACATTTTCCCCAGATATATATTTCATTTTCCTGCCCCCATGATATATCTTTACATTTTCCCCATGATATATCTTTACATTTTCCCCATGATATATATTTATATTTTCCCCATGATATATATTGATATTTTCCCCATGATATATATTGACATTTTCCCCATGATATATATTGACATTTTCCCCATGATATATATTTACATTTTCCCCATGATATATATTTACATTTTCCCCATGATATATATTTACATTTTCCCCATGATATATATTTACATTTTCCCCATGATATATATATTTACATTTTCCCCATGATATATATTTACATTTTCCCCATGATATATATTTACATTTTCCCCATGATATATATTTACATTTTCCCCATGATATATATTTACATTTTCCCCATGATATATATTTACATTTTCCCCATGATATATATTTACATTTTCCCCATGATATATATTTACATTTTCCCCATGATATATATTTACATTTTCCCCATGATATATATTTACATTTTCCCCATGATATATATTTATATTTTCCCCATGATATATATTTATATTTTCCCCATGATATATATTTATATTTTCCCCATGATATATATTTATATTTTCCCCATTATATATATTTATATTTTCCCCATTATATATATTTATATTTTCCCCATTATATATATTTATATTTTCCCCATTATATATATTTATATTTTCCCCATTATATATATTTATATTTTCCCCATTATATATATTTATATTTTCCCCATTATATATATTTATATTTTCCCCATTATATATATTTATATATTTTCCCCATTATATATATTTTTATATTTTCCCCATTATATATATTTTTATATTTTCCCCATTATATATATTTTTATATTTTCCCCATTATATATATTTATATTTTCCCCATTATATATATTTATATTTTCCCCATTATATATATATATTTATATTTTCCCCATTATATATATATTTATATTTTCCCCATTATATATATTTATTTTTCCCCATTATATATATTTATATTTTCCCCATTATATATATTTATATTTTCCCCATTATATATATTTATATTTTCCCCATTATATATATTTATATTTTCCCCATTATATATATATTTATATTTTCCCCATTATATATATATTTATATTTTCCCCATTATATATATATTTATATTTTCCCCATTATATATATATTTATATTTTCCCCATTATATATATATTTATATTTTCCCCATTATATATATATTTATATTTTCCCCATTATATATATTTATATTTTCCCCATTATATATATTTATATTTTCCCCATTATATATATTTATATTTTCCCCATTATATATATTTATATTTTCCCCATTATATATATTTATATTTTCCCCATGATATATATTTATATTTTCCCCATGATATATATTTATATTTTCCCCATGATATATATTTATACTTTCCCCATGATATATATTTATACTTTCCCCATGATATATATTTATACTTTCCCCATGATATATATTTATACTTTCCCCATGATATATATTTATACTTTCCCCATGATATATATTTATACTTTCCCCATGATATATATTTATACTTTAATATATTTTCCCCATGATATATATTGATACTTTCCCCATGATATATATTTATATTTTCCCCATGATATATATTGATATTTTCCCCATGATATATATTGATATTTTCCCCATGATATATATTGATATTTTCCCCATGATATATATTGATATTTTCCCCATGATATATATTGATATTTTCCCCATGATATATATTTACATTTTCCCCATGATATATATTGATATTTTCCCCATGATATATATTTACATTTTCCCCATGATATATATTTACATTTTCCCCATGATATATATTTACATTTTCCCCATGATATATATTGACATTTTCCCCATGATATATATTGACATTTTCCCCATGATATATATTGATATTTTCCCCATGATATATATTGATATTTTCCCCATGATATATATTGATATTTTCCCCATGATATATATTGATATTTTCCCCATGATATATATTGATATTTTCCCCATGATATATATTGATATTTTCCCCATGATATATATTGATATTTTCCCCATGATATATATTGATATTTTCCCCATGATATATCTTGATATTTTCCCCATGATATATCTTGATATTTTCCCCATGATATATATTGATATTTTCCCCATGATATATCTTGATATTTTCCCCATGATATATCTTGATATTTTCCCCATGATATATATTTATATTTTCCCCATGATATATATTTATATTTTCCCCATGATATATATTTATATTTTCCCCATGATATATATTTATATTTTCCCCATGATATATCTTTATATTTTCCCCATGATATAAGGCTTAAGAAAGACGCTGGCTCGTCCTGGCGGTGAAAGGCCATGTGCTGTCTTTTGATTGGGGGCGTCTTAAAGGAGACAATCCGAACACGCATGGAAAAGATAGAGGCCGAATTTTCGCACCTTTTAGTTGCCTCTGTGAACTTCTGTAGTGGTAGGAACAGCATTTGTAGGTTTTTCTAGGGAGTTTCAGGAGCGCTTATTGTCTAGCCGTGCCTAGCATCACGCGGCGGTTCGGGTTGACGTAACTAACATGTAGTGGTTTTTTGTTGGGGCCGAGGGGGAGAAATGGTACCACGTCACTTCCGTTGTGTTTGGCTAGTGGTTTTCGATACCTGTCTGTCGTGTCGCTTCTAGCCTCTTCTAATATCTTCTCATCGCTCAGCTCTCCTCGTCTCATATCTTGTTATCTGTGCGCTCTTCGTCTCATCTCATCTCGTCGTATCTCTCCTCGTCGCATGTCTTCTCATCTCTTTTCATCTCTTGGAATTTCTTCATGCTTATGAAAGTCCCCCTTTTCCCGAGACTTCTTTATACTATTTTGTGCTGGTGCCATGACAGTTCCCCCCCAGCCTAAAGGGTCGCACCCCCCCAGAAGTTTCTTTATACTTGATATACTTCCCACTTGGTGTCATGATAGTTCCCTCCCCCTAGTCTAAAGGGTCATATGCCCCCAGAAGTTTTTTATACTTGATATAATATATATATATATACTTCCCATATGGTGCCACGATAGTTGCCTCCCACCAAAACCAAAGGCTAGTATCCCTTTCAGAAGTTTCTTTAGGCTTGAAATTCTTCTTCTGTGATACCATGATAGCTCCCCCCCACCTAAAGGGTCGTATCCCCCTTCATAAAGGATCTTTGGGGCGCAGGTGATGTTTTTTTTTGGGGCGCAGGTGATTCCACATCAGGTGAAAGTTTAGGGGCGCAGATGGTGTTTTTTTAGGGGTGCAGATGATGGGTGAACACTATCCAAGACGCTGTTGTGATGTATATTTGGCCCAGAACTTTCCAAAAACAGCTGGAAATCCTTGGGGTGGACTCCTGGGCGTATAGAAGTTTGCTATGGAAAATGGCGCTGTTATAGTATAGATGACTTACTGCACCATGATTTATCGAAAATCAAAGAAACTCGACGGTAAATCATGGGTTATCCTCTGATTTCCCATGGCTGTCATGCAACCAGACAGTAATGTTTGGTCGATGAATTAGACGCGGTGCCTCAACTTCCTGTTCGACTGTCATGCGACAATCCACATGGGAGGCATACTTGCAATTGCCCTCTGCTGGTCTGCGCAGAGGACCGGTCTGTGTGAAGATGACTAAAACACCCAAGTTTAATCTAAAACGGGTTGAAATGAGCATGTATTATGCATCAGGCAGCAATGAACGGGGATTAAAACATATTAAAACCAGCCAAAAATTGGGATTAGAATCGCCATCAGATTCTCATTGTCACTGATGATCTGCGAAACAAAGTCCCATTTGGTACCCAGATGTATCATGACTTGGATGAACATTTCTGACACCCACAAAGGATGGCACTGGGTGCAGCCACGGGGCCGTGGCCTAGGAGGAGTGAAGGACATGTCATCATCTCCGTTGTGGAAACGGAGGCAGAAGTCAGAAGCCCAGTCAGCATCGAAGGAGAAAACCCATGGTTTCATCATGGGGAGACAAATAGTGGCTGCCCCACATCGAACTGTTAGTTTACAGGAGGGTAGATTTTTGCGTACTTATTGCGATAGAAAATGTGTTGCAGAGATTTGCAGAGATATGTGAGACTGGCAGGTGTGAAAGCTCATATGTTCTGTCCTTTCGAAGCACTCAACGTTTGCTATTTGGGCGTCAACATGTGTTCAAAATGCTGGTTCTTGCCAAATGCACAGTCAAACCACAGATCTTCAGCACTTACCTTCGACAATCAAACATGGCGTACTGGAGAATTCCCCGTTTACATCCGATTATATACTTCGATGATTTTCCCACCTATAAGCTCCATTTATAGAAAAAGTTATTGGTTTCGGGGATTTCCCAGATATGTTTGATTACCGGAAGGACTATCCCATTAACCCAAAAAGTTCCAAGCATTTCGCCGTTCCCCAAAAAACATTGATGGTTAATATTCGCAAAATTCCACAAGATATTCCTAGTTTTGATGGTTTATATAAATCCATCTGTTTTCAGTGTAATTTCCCAGCCATTGTCATGTTTGACATTGAGGTCTGCAGGAAATACACCCTCACCCTCCGCGAGTATGTCCTTGGCTGATGCTCGGTGCGCTCTAGATCGTGCTTATTGGTGCTCTCCTTCGTGCTCAAAATCGTGGTCTAGATCGTGCTCGCTGTTTAATATATATATATAATATATTTATTTATTATATATAAATTAAATTTTATATTATATTACATATATATATTAATGATTTTCACATAATATTATATATATTATATTATATATTATTTACTATATATTAAATATTTTATATTTTATATTACATATAATATATTATATAGTATATATTTTATATTATATTTCATTTTTTATTGTATATATATTATATTATATTTTATATATTATATTATATATATAGTACATATATATATATATATTATATTATGTATTATATATATTATATATATATTATGTATTATATGTTTGTTTATTTATTATATATATATATTCTAAATATGCATTTATCAACCAGCAGCATATACAATGAGGCTTATCGGTGTTCATACTCGTATGTTTCATGTACTGCATCCATTGGTATTTTATAAGCACAATAATGTGTATACATAATCATACACATATATATATATTTACAGATTGTATGTATATTCATATATCCATTAGAGCTGCACACTGGACGGAAATGAGACAATTCCACATGTCCTAGAACAGCCAATGGGGGTTTACAATCAACGGACATGGGACACATATCCAACAATCCTGGGAACACATTTTGGGTTCACGTTTGGAATGACAATCCTCAATGACTTAAATCGTGAGGGTTGGAAACACCAACCACCTGGCTGGGTTGGAAAGCGAAGTGGTGAATTTACCCTAATGTATGGCCATGGAATCACAAGGAAAAATAAGGGTTTGAAACACTGGAATTTGTGGATCCTATTTTAGCACAAACTTGATTGCCAACCAAATGACAATTCGCTGAATCTAGCTGGTTCTGGCGATAGGTCCATTTGCCCGAAAATGTTTCTGGCTTGCTCAAGATAATCAGCATGACCGACATCCATCATTTGATAAATCGAGAAGGAACACTTTAGGTTTTGCAGGCAAATTTGGCAAACCCAGATTTGTTTGCGCCCGATACACTGTTCGGTAGATGTCCTGCTAGACCTTAGGTGCAGGCTAAACTTTGTAGGCTGCAGAGGTTGTGGGGTTTCTGGTGAAAACGTTGATGGTTGCAACTACTACAACACCAGGACAACAATTTTTCCTATTGTCTAGCTGCTGAAACCCTTTCCCCTTAGAGTACCCTTAGACTCCTACCAGGTTTCATATGAATGACATGGCGGATCGCGGATCAGTTGTTTTGCTTTAAAGTACATAATCTTAATTTATTCAGACTTGAAATACGATCTGCCACGCAGGCCACTCCAAATGAGGATGTTTGATCAGCGCCTTAGGTCATAAGATGCTAAACGGGAAAAACAAATCATCCGCCTTGCGGATGTATTTTATCCAGTTGGTTGCCCCCAAACGCTCAAATAGGAGTGGGTCATGCCACCTATGATTTTATCACCCCAAACATGCCCAAACCATTTAACTAATTTAGATGTGAACCACTAGGTATCAGGCAAAAATGACCCCTAACTAGATAGCATCAGATAGCTATGTTTCTGTTTTTTTTCGATCTTAGGGTCTTAGGGATAGTAGATGAAGCTAACCTGCAGCACACGTCTCGCGGATATTCACGTCCTGAGGAAGTCATGAAATCTCCCTTTGGCAACCCACCAGATCCGTGGCAGCAAGGAGGCAGCATTAATACATATTAATACTATACATTTCTCAACCAACCGCCAGTTTAGCGGTCCTTGGATGTAACTGGATGAGCAGATTCCATAGCTTTCCGTGAGTTTTCAGTAAGATTTATGCTGGATTGATGGCCGTGATTTATGAGAATTTGAGGAGTTCTTCCCAAACAAATCCTAGATTTTCGTCCCAGAAAATGATACGTCAAGGTGAGTTTATTGAATAGTGGAATCCACAATCTTCCATTTTTTCGAGCTAGCTTAAAACATGTAGCTGGCTCAATTTCATCAGGGGTATGTTTTGACAGTCACCTTGGGCTTTTTCAGAGGTACCATATCTAGTACTAAAGTAATCAGTGGGGATTGAACCTGGCAATTTAATGCAATCTAACAGATTGGGAAGTTTCTGCGAGCTCGCTCAATTGCAACGAGCTGGCTCAGCACCATCGAGCTCGCTCAATGCCACGTAGCTGGCTCAGGGGCATCGAGCTAGCTCAATGGCATCGAGCTGGCTCAATTTTTTTAGCGGAAAAAAAAAAAAACTCGCAGAAATTGAGCCAGCTACGTCACGTTGAGCTGGCGGACGAATGTGAGAGCATCAAAACGAATACTAACTATGTATTGGCCGGGTTCATGACGCATTGGCGAGCCGGCTCAAGGGCATGTAGCCGGCTCAATTTCTGCGAGTTTTTTTTTTCTTTTTTTTTCGCTAAAAAGATTGAGCCAGCTACGTGGCGCTGAGCCAGCTACGAGGCGCTGAGCCAGCTACGTGGCATTGAGCCAGCTACGTGGCACTGAGCCAGCTACGTGGCACTGAGCCAGCAAGGTAGCTTTGAGCTTTGAGCTAGCAAGGAGGCAGTGAGCCAGCAAGGTAGCTTTGAGCTTCATCAAATATATATATATATACCTATGCAATCCCAACCATATAATATACTAAATCTAGGGCAAAACAATTTTTTTGAGGGAGACACGTACCTTTGAGCTGGAGCGGGAATGTGAAATCTACCATTCGAGTTTATCACTTCCGGATGGACTTGTCCGGTCCATTTTCTGAGGATGGGATGACACTGACAGAGATCACGTCACCAGTCGAAGGCCATGGTCGTGAAGCACTGGAAAGTCACAAAGCGTCACCCGAACTCGACCACTCTGCCAGCATGCCAAGCATAGCCACGAAGCCCATGGCCGCCACGCCATGCATGGCCCCGCTTTCTGCAATGATGCCTGGCTGAATCTGAAAGAAACATTTTCTGCAGGATCCAGCTTCTAACGACATCAAGTGCCGCTTTGTAGATGAATAGAACTGTGCAACAGAATGCTTGAGCTACCTGATTGCTTGGGTATCCCGTCTCCCTGTTCCAATCAAACGTATTACAACGTACAACCTCTATAGAAAGTAATGGCCATGAGTGGACCGGGCGTCGTTTGATGTTGGTTGCAATATGGGTTTGTCTGAAAATAGAGTACCCTAAAATACCATAGTTTATCCTTAGTTTCCCTTAAATAGCCATTGTTGGGGTATACGGTACACCCCATTTTCAGACACCGATATTGCTGGATGTGGAAGTTCAAGTGCACAACATCACACCATAGAGATACCTTGGATAAGCCTTAAACATGTGTGGAACAGCCTGCCGCATTGCCCGCTGCTTGCTGCTGGGTTGTACTGTTTCCTTCTAGACTTATGGATGGTGAAAATTCCTTTTTGACAAATCAGTATGATTCTATTGCATACTAGCACTAGGGTTAAGTCGTATCAGCCACTGAAAATCGTATCGGGAGGCCGCGCGCCTGGAAAAGGTTCAATTTTGAAATCATCATAACTTTTGATAATTCTATTGTTTCATTGTTTTGAAGCCGTGCGCCTGGGAAAAGTTCAATGTTTGTATTGTGACGACTTTGGGCACTTATTTGATCATTCTTTCAAGGGGGCATACGCTGCTAAGATAGTGTTGCTATTGGGAGTTCTTTCAGACAGATGGATTTGTTGTTGAGAATCAATTTTTACACTATTTAGGCTTGCCCAAGGTCGTACATTTCTCGATTTGTCGGTGGCGTGCATTTAAGAGGACTTTTTTGCCGTACACGGAATATCACGGAAATCATGTTTAAGAGATTGTCAAATGATGTTTAGTAATGTGGGAAAACCAATAATAAACCACCCATTTGGGAATGGTTTATACATGTTTATACCATACCTATCTATGGTGATTTGGAGCATGGTTTATTATTGGTTTACCATGTTTTACCATGTTTTACCATGTTTTACCATGTTTTACCATGTTTTACCCACATGATGTTTTTTTTTGGGACACATAACATGACACAGCTATTTCCCCAATGACATGATCATCGCCAGGAAAGCGCCTGTGAGATTTGCCGGAAGCGAGCCCTGGAACTTGCCCTTGCCCCTGAAAGAGCCGCACTCGAAACCTGACGTGGCGAATTGGGACCTGGAAAAACATGGCAGTGACACCAGATACCCCAGTTGAGGATCTTATTTTCGGATATTTTTGGTGTTACACTGGGTTACATATACCCTAAAAGTCAAAAATCCGAACGGGGATAGGTCGCTAGCTAAAGACCTAAATGCACAACAAAAGGCCTGAACAAGGACCAAGGATATGATAGCCTTAAAACTGTATGTTTTTGAATTCTTGTGCCATCAAGAGTATCCAGATTGAAACCCTGGTTCATACTGACGATTTCTACTGCACTTCATTTTTCCCTTGTCACATGCCCATGTTTAAGTTTTGAAAATCTTGGTACCCATGTCCACGCTCTAGATAGGTCTTTCCACAGTTTCTCCACGCTTTGTCCACTGTCAGGTCTGAAATCATGTTTCCATTATGTTTTGGAAACTTTGTCAGTCTCTTTTAAATTGATTTAGCAGCGCAGGCTGTGTTGACAATCACAGCTTCAAGAAGTTGAACCATAATGGTACATCAGGCCCTTACGGCTTTCAACTCAAAGTTTCAGCACCGGGTGTTACCTTCCAGCATTCCGCTTCTATATCTTATTGTCTTAGATTGTTTCTCTTCAAGAACCATTGAAAGAAATTCTGGAAAATGATATGTCTCTTGGCTGTGCACATCTTGAACCCCTGCTGCACCTTCCCTAGCTAGGTCCCAGGATTCAGGTTTAGGTCTCTTCTCCAAAGACCTATTCCCAATAGGTTTCCGACCCACAGGGTATATACTGTACCCTTTGTGACGCTTTATGTATGTATTGGGGATGATCATTATCCATGAGCCGGGAACCTCCATTCATTGAGCCTTTGTGCAATAGTTTCTCCTTCCAGGGATTGGAGAATTCTGGCTGGTTGCATTCCATTTCATCTCATGTAATGTAATTTTGTCTGAAACAGCAACAAACCGCAATTCCGACGAAAGGCTGTTCACATCCTTTCTTCCGAAGGATCAATTCCTTTTGAGTTTCCAAGCAGATCTTTTGCCATGTGCTATGTCCTGTAATGTCCAGTAGCTGTCAAGGCATTGACACGTCTTAGCAGTTGAACAGATACAGTATCCTGTCATGTTATGGCTAGAAATGCCAGGATTACTCAGTCAGAGTCTGGGAGAGAATGAAGTCAACCAGGAAATTAGGGATTCGAGAACTTGTTGAAACCAATCCATTCCCTCGTAACTGAACATGCTAGTGGAGAATCCTCCATTTTGTGTATATTGTAAGAAATGGTGGTTCATCCATAGACCCAGGTGGCAGTTATTGGAAAAACAAACTTGAAGAAAACACTGGGATTGACCATGATTCATATACTATTGAGCTAGGCATAGCTAGGCTATATTCCACATATAGCTGGGCTATATTTGCATGGTTTCACCCACAAACTAACTGGGATACCCATTTTTGTCGAGCGTCTAGGATGGAGCTGCCGCACATGCCAGCCGAGCCCGCCAAGAACCTTCCAGAGCTGAATAGCTTTGCACTGGCCAGACCCAAGTCGCGAGGCTGAGGAGCCACGCCACGGTGGCCACAGTCAACACGCGAATCATAGCACATTCATTATAATGTATCATTTCAAGGCCTACCCAATGGTGGTGGCCCGTACCCAGTGGTCCAGAAGTGTTTTTTTCTTTAAAATTGCCAGCTGCGCTGAGAGCTGTTAATGCTGGAAGATTTGTCTCGGTCTTGACGACTCTCTTGGCACCAACATAACGGGGTGGGTCAACCATCGTGGGACCTTAACATCCATCCCTGCAAGTTGTGATGTGAAGCCCAGAATACCAAGGTTTTGACCCATTTCCAGTGTCAAATTTAGGATCCGAGGCTGACTTGTTGCAAGGGTAGCATGCTTGCAAGATTAAAGATAACAAGGTTTCCTGGTCCATAGAGTTTACCACTGCTTGTAAATTACCTTGGGTAATCAAACATGGCTGGCTGGGAAATTTGCTATAATCTGCGACGATATGTAACTTTGACTAAATAAGGCTTCATGGGAATATCATCTATAAATGAGGAAGTTTTCCATTGCCATTGCCATGTCTGCTTTCCGGGGGGTAGTCTTGTTATGGGAAATTTGATTCTGTTGATGGGCCTTGCTGTGAAGATACACCCCAGGGGAGGTTCTAAGGGAAGCAGTTCACATGTTGTGGACCCAAGATACTGGTATGTGGGTTTGTTGATTCTCTATCTGAGCGACTTCTTTTATTTAGTGAAGTGAAGACTAATCTTGGGGTGTGCCAGTTTGTAGAAAACGGCATGTTTGCTGTACATTGCAAAACGAGGTAGGAACACCCCTGGAACGAGGTAGGCATTTCATCCCTAGCATTTAGCTACAACAAAAAAGTGCCGCGTTGGAGAACGAGGTCAGGCAGAAAAAAACAGTACGGGAATGGAGAACAAGGTAGGAACACCCTGTCGATCACGTGAGGTACCAAATACTTTCCGCAGATCGTTTATACATGTATATTGTACAATGTTATACAATATTATAGAAGGATCTAGCAATCTACTGACCCTTGACTACGGAAGCCGGTTGCGCACAACAGCGGTCTTATGATTTGCTGCAAGCGGGGTGCCCCTTGGATTCCAGCGTCAATGAGATCCCCTGCGATCTCGTCCCCTGTGTCAACTAGGCTTTGTATGTTTTGTTTGGACCAGTGTGCCATGCACCTACAACTCTGAAAAGCAACGGAAGTGAAATGTGATGTGTATGGCAAACGATATATGAGTGATTGTGTCCATCAGGGTGTTCATAGGTTTATGTCATTCCCCAAAATATTCATTCACAGGGGATTCAGCTATGCGTTCACCAGATCCCCAGTCAACTATTCATCATTGTCCAAGTTGTTTGCTTCATGTTTCTCTGCTCTTGAAGTGGCCAGTCTGCAAGCCGAGACTCAACATGGACCCCCCGGATGCACCCAACATCCAACCTCGAACTTCATTCGAGTTTGCCCCTTTCAGAAGTCAGAGTGCACCGGTGAAATGAGAGCGGCCAATGAGTGGCCAGTTTGTCGTTGGAATGAGGGAGATGATTGAAACGCTTGAAGGATCTTGAAGGGAGATCTCCCAAATGGTTGTTTTTACTACCAATTTTACTGGAGCAACACGCAGGGATCACAGGTTCATTGCAGGGCGATGTCAAGTCTGAATTGTGCGGTGTCGGTCTCGTGACTATTAAAGTTTTGTATATATATATATAATTATATATATGTATATGAATATTTTAATTAATTGCTGCGCTGTTTTCTCGTCAGGCTCGTATTCTGTTGCTGTTTCTTTCTGTGCTTCTATGTCATCCCGTCAGTTCTTTTCCATCTTTTTTCATGAATGCAACCAAGAAGTATGGGGTCGACACTGGTGACAGCTGTGTTTTTCCACAACACGAACACGACAGCGCAAGTTGGCACCCTGACTTCTTTTGGCGTGACAGACGCAACAGCATGTTTTGTAATCAATGTAGTATCTGTAGCCGCAAAAGGTACACGGGTACCTTTGCAAGACACCTGGTGTGGATTGGGCGAAGTTGTGCACAGAGCCCTACCTGGTGATCCAATGTGATCCAGGATTCCTGATCCATTCTGCGCCCAATCCACACCAATCCGTTGGACACGTTGGACACGTTGGACATGATGGACACGTGGGATGCGTTGGAGACAGGCACAACTTGCCTAGATATGCCTAGATCATCCTAGCTAATTCTTCTCTTCCAGGTGTCACATCCAGATGTTGCCCCTAAGATTCTCCCCACCTGAATTCTGTTGTATTTGTATTATATAATATCCATTGATATCCATTGATATCCTACTTGTATCATATTGCTGATTCAATCATCGCAAAAAAAAATGTATTATTGGCAATGCTCCAAAGGAAATGATACTTGAGTTGTTTGCACGTCAACGGGTGAAACATGAAGGAAGCAGTCTCATCCAGAAGCAGTTGTGACACCTTTTGAAAGACTGTTTGCAACACGCACATGTCAAAACTTATATTATGGCAGCCAAGTCGGAATCATCGTCAAATGCCACGTTGCTCACGCTATTTGACGCTATTTACAGTAAGATTTTGCCATGGCCGACATGATTCTGCTGCCACTTTTGACCATTGGTGCTTGTTTTTTGCTGCATAATATGCAGGGCTTTAGCGTTCTGACACTTAAAGTGTCGATTCTCGGTCCATCCGAAGCCATGATGCCACCGAAAAGTGAAGCGGCTCACCTCACCCAGCTAAAAAGCATCAGAAACCTATACGATTCAATCTGCGAATTGCAACAAGCGCATATTTTGGTAACTTTTATATCTTCTGATATTAAATTATATTATACATTATTATACATTATTATACATTATTATACATTATTATACATTATTATACATTATTATACATTATTATACATTATTATACTAATTTGTACTATCTCTATAACATAAATATGTGATATTTTTCGGCAACGTGTTGTGCATCCTTTGCTCTTTAGGGGTGGCAGACTTTGACTAATTAGTTTTGACAGAAAAACCATGAAGATGCGGATGGTCTATGGTCGGAAAGCTACCCGGAAGTAACAAACACCAATTCTGCATTGATCTTCACGGCATTCTGGCATTCCACCATTTCCCGGTAAAGCTACGATGTCATTGGGAAATTCCCGGTCAAGCTTTCGGTAAATATCACCAACCCGCGATTGATTTGGTCAGGTTGAGTCTTTAACCATCCAATTTTTGTGATCATTTTGACCCACAGCGACCCATTCATAAACATTGACTGGCTGCAGAAGCACCCGTTGATTTCCTCGGCATTGAGGATCCCGCTTTTGGAAATGACGGGGAGCCGGTGGACATGCAGGGTCCTGACAGCTGGGAAGGGGTAAACAAACTTTATAAATCTATGGGTGTCCGTCGAAAGATTACCAAATGGTGGGTGTTCCGTCTATTTATATATATATATATATAAGATCATTTCTATACCATATATATAATGTATATTATTATTATTGTTATTTTATTATTATTATGTATATATATATATATGTGTGTTGGTAAAACAGATACATATATATATATAATATGCTACCCCCCAGATGTGTTCAATCTATGTATTCATACATCTGCATTGAACAACTATATTGATGTACTGGAGGGTACCTGAGATAAATAGATCTGGAAAATCCATAAAAATCAAGAGCTTCCTGCAAGACAACTGTTGTTGTTTGCTTGGGCCATTCGGGCCATTCTTGCACTGACCTTCTCCAGAGTTTGCTGGATGATTTAATCCTCTCTATTGACATTTGGGTGTGTCTGAAGTCTGAAGATGGTGTATAACAAACACTATAACACCAAAATTGCCGTCAAGTAATAGGAGTCAATTTGGTTCCAAACATGTCACTCTGCATGAAATTTGGGGATGATTCCCCTATGACAAAGGCATCTCAACATCAAGGTGGATATGTTCAGCCTTCAAAGCACTGGAAGCCATAAATGTATCGAAATCCTGAGGCAAGAATATGTGGAGCGTGGCAACCAAATGGTGAAGGCAACTGTGGTGGAGGGTTTAAGGGCTTTGAGCCTCTGGATATGGAAGAGGACTGGATTGCTGCCATGAACTGAGAATTTTCTTGAAATGGTTCAGTACCAGAAAAAAACACGCAAGCTTTCAAGCATGGCTAGGCTTGACGGATGCGTCTTTTGAGACACTGATGTTCAAAGGATTTGTTCAAACTCACTAGAAGCCTCATTTGGAAAACAATTTGACCCTAAACCCTATTCACAATTCTAATATCGTTTTTTTTTTTTTTGCGGGGCAGGCTATGATTCAGATATGACTATAACTTTAAATATACAATATACAGCAATCCATAATAATAAGACCAATAACAACGATATATAATCATAATAATTACGAATAATTATGATTATTATACATGATATTGTATAATATGAAATATATTACTAAACCAATATATAATAATAGTATATCATTTGATACATATATATAAATATATATAGCAATAATTTATAACATATAATAATACATAATAAGATAGAACACTATCTAATCATGTATGACAATGTGGAATAATGTGGAATATATAGTTGGGGACAACTACTTAGAACATTATTTTCCAAATTGTTCAACCCCTTACTTAGAACATAAACGGACACTATACTTAGAACATCTCCATTGATTTTTGCATACTTAGAACATAAACAGACCATATACTTGAAACATGTCCATTGACTTTGGTAAATCTGCATGTATACTCACAAATACGTTTGTGAACACCACACTTAGAACGCTTTCTCCCCTCAGTGCTGCTGAAAAAACTACCTTTTCTTCCAGAACAATATCCCACACAATCTTAGCTGAAATGGGAAAGGTCTCTGAAATTTGGAGGTTTCCTAATGAGGGTAGGCCAAAAGCCTAGGTTTCAATAGTAAAATTGTTTAATTTTGGATGATTTGGGGCTCAAAAATGGGCGAATACTAAATGGACTTACTGCATAAGCCCTCAAGATAGGGGGCTGAATCACGATGAATCACGCGTCTAGATTCTTAGATATCTTAAAACATAAGCTGGGATGTTCTACGTGTTGACTCTACCACCTACCTGTGGGCATCCTGGAAACGAAGAATGCGAAAGGTGCTTCAGCCAAATGGAGTCTATGCACAAGCCCTTAAGATCAGGAACAGATCACGCGTCTAGATCATTTGAAACATAATTTGGGATGTTCTAAGTGTAGACTCTGCTACCTATTTATGGGCATCCCGGAAATTGAGAATATACAAGGTTTTTCAGCCTAATGGAGTCTATGCACAAGACCTGAAGAAAAGGGACAGAACCACACGTCTAGATCTTTCAAAACATAATTTGGGTTAATTTGGGATGTTCTAAGTGCAGTCTCTGCCGCCTACCTGTGGCCTTCCTGGAAACGAAGAATGCAACTCAGCCAAGTGGAGTCTAGTCTATGCACAAGCCCTCAAGATAAGGTGGATAAGGAACTGGATGGCCAAGAAGAGATTGGATTCAGTGTCGGCTGGAATATACGTATACAGATTCTTCCAAATGCAAGTTCATATGTCAATGTATATTATATATATACATATATTATAGTATTTTTTAATATCCAAAGCTGTATGAACACAGGACTAATCATCGCTGGAGATTCTCCCTACCTTAGTGTATATAGTGTATAATATCTCTGCAGGACAAACACTTCGAACATCTATATGGTTCCTCCCATTGGTTCCCCCTGGGATGTTCTAAGTATATATGTTGGATATGTTCTAAGTATATGTTTTTTTTAACTGATTTTCTAAGTGATACTTAGAACATCCCCTCTGTGAAGGCTTGACATTTTTTCCAATTGATGTTCTAAGTATACGTCCCCAACTATATAATGATATACAATAATATACAAGAATAATTATAGTAATAATAATATATAATAATATATAATAATATATTAGTAATATATTAATAATATATAATAATATATAATAATATATAATAATATATAATTATAAATAATAATATATAATAATATATAATAGTATGTAATAATATATAATAATATGTAATAATATATAATAATTAATACTAATAATAATATATGTTATTCATACATGGTAATCAATACTAATCTACAATAGTTTATAGTAATATGTAATAATAATCAATAACGAATACACAATTATTTTTACTGATATATCATAATGTATAATAATATAATAATACATAATAGTGTTATATTATACAAAACATATACAATGATGCAATAGTAATAGCAATAATAATAATATTATTAATTAATAATAATAAACTAATAATGCTAATGATAGTAATAATAATAATACTACATACAGTATCATGTACATGTGCGGCTGCCAGCTTGGCGGAAGCACAGTCATTGCTGCCCGTATTGAGCAGCTCGACCGACAAAAGCCCAACTGCCCCATGGCATCATTTCAAGGAAAGGCGCCCCGTGTGGACAAATTCCGTGCATACAACGCTTCCTCCAAAAAACACATTCTTGCACCCTTCCTGCTTGTAAGGCCGCGGCGTCCGCGCAGTACCCTTATAGTATATACAGTATATATATACAATATATATATATAATATATATTATATATAATATTTATATATATATATTATATTTTATATATGCATACAATGTTTTACAATTCTCCGCAGTCCCGATGATTCACTCACACTCTTGAACTTTAACCGACCTAACGGAGACGACGCAGGCTGGACGGTTCAAAGCTGCTGCAGGCCTTTTCTCAGAGGCTGGCCACCCTTGTTATACCCTGGTTCACCAGTACTGGATCTATCTGGATCGGTTCATTTTGGGGCTCCCATGTATCCATATTTATCTGTGTTTATCCATATTTATCCATGCTGGTGTTTTTTCTTATTTGGAAGTTGGGGCTCTGTTTGCGATTTTGCACCCCCAACATCCAAGCAAGCTAACCATTCATATACTGAATCAAAATTCAATATCAAGATACTTCAGAGTCCGTGTTCAAATGACTTGTCTCTTCAGTCATGTGTGTCTGTCACCTTCATTGGAGCGCTACCAAACTTCCCCCTAATTTGGGATTGTCCACAATGTTTACTCTTCCAGGTAAGGGACATCATACAGATAAGCATAACCCATATGTCTGGGAGATAGACACCAGGGTATACTGCAGATGTTAAACCAATCGGTAGGTCCATCGAACCAAACATGTTTTCCCATGCGCGCTATGAACCATTCCTGTCAGGCCCTCAAAGCCTGCTCCCAGCAGCGTGCTGTCGATTTGGATGTGGAGGCCATGATGGTCCATTTCGCTTCAAGATCTACTCGGGTCCCGGAACGGGGAATGGAACCCTAATTCATTCTTGGCAATCTTACCACGGAGAATGAGGTTGAAAGCAACTGGATTTTGGGGTGCCTGATTTTTGGCCAAAACCCACTTCGGTCATCCACAGGTAGCCAGGACTATAGCTCGCCAACTATCCCAGGGATCCACTCCTTGGGGGACTTTCCACTCGCCAAGCACTTCATCAATTCCGTGCAGGTTGATATTATCAAGTCGCGTCTCATGCTCAGTTGCAATCGCAGGGATATGCTCTGATGCATTGAAACATAGCGGAACCAACCAGCTCCATGAGCTTTCAACATTTGTCGTTTGAAGCCTTGTTGGGTGCTTCTGTCTCCAGCTTGTAACTTTTGTGCCAGCTATATCCGTATGGATGTCAGTGAACTCGTTGACTCAACGCCAGGCGCCAAATGCTGGAAAGCCATCGGTTGCTTCGCCGAGCTACAGGAGGACGACTTAAGTTCGACGATGATCCCAATTGGACATGGGCCACGGTGGGCCAAAACAAGCACGGCCAGTACTAAAAAAGGATCGCTGGTTGCAAAGGAATGTCGCCCCCAGATTTATCCAGATTTGGGGATGGCTTTGAAAAACGATCATGTTTTGTTGGTATTGCAGTACCCTCTGGTAAACTAACATAGCTATTGAACATGGCCATTTATAGTGGATTTTCCCATTAAAAATGGTGATTTTCCATAGCTATGTTAGTTTACCAGAGGGTAACCATACAGTTTTTTTTGGGGATGTCGTTGGTCACCCAACTGCTGGTGCAGGATGCCCAGAAGGTCCTGAAATTGACCGGCAACCGCGATCAAGAGGCGTTAGATTGGTTGAGGCGGGGTTATGGGGCTGGGAATGATTTGTGTATCATTTTGGATTTTGCGAAAATGATTATTGATGTTCTATGATTTTCTATGAATTTCTATGATTTTCTATGATTTTCTTAATTAATCTTGGCGAATCCACCATTCTGTGAATCTACTGAGAAGAGTTTGGATGTGTTTCTGTCATCCCTGCAAGTCCTTGGCAAATCCAAGTTGCCAAGTCATCGGGGACAGAAATCATCAGAAATCCATCGACTAATCTGCAGTAAAGGAATCAACAATAGTCAACTCATGATTATCATTATATAATTATATATGGTTATTAACCATTATTAATGTTATTACTAATAATCCCATTATTAGAAGGGTTAATGAGTTGTTGATTCCTCATCTTTTGGATCTTTTGGACCATTAAGACTTATTAAGACCCTGTTGACCTGCTGGTGTACCCATTTGTCACCCCTATTTGAACCTGTTCGATCGAGTTGAATTGTTCATGGCGTGGTAATTTCCTGAGCCTTGCACTCAGTCTGTGTGTCTCATGGGATCTCAAAGGTATTCTGCAGGATTTGCATATGATCCGAGACTTTGCAAGAATCAAAGGCACAAAATGGTACAACCGTACAGCCCAAAAGATGCCGTGTTTGGCTCTCTGGATTTATCATGGCTGGTTGACGCTGTTTCCAAACATTCTTGTGACGTAAAGCTACGGAGACCAGGGCCTGGACATGTTTCGGTTGAAGTTGTTTCAACTTTTCAGGTGTTGAAAAGGTGAAACCAGTGGCAGTTCCCACATATTTTCTTATCTCCTCGATGTTCTGCTCGAGAAAAACAGTTCCCTACCATGTTCGTGATGTTTTTAACGTTCCATGCTTATACTTTGTATGACTTGTTTGGCAGTCCTCATCTGAAGACTTATATAGGACATCTGACACCAAGAACCCTTTTCATGTGTGTGTATCTCATTATTTTTTGGGACCCAACCTTCAAACGCAACATATCTATACAAATCTTACAATAAACTAATTAAAGACATGAAAAGCAACTTCACGGCCCATACTTGTACAATTTGAAGAAACAGTATTTTTTTCGACCCTAGTCTTCAGATTATATAAACACCGCTGGAGCGTCAGGGCCGCGGAAGAAAACTTGTCTCGGCGCCGTCCAGTGAGTGATGCAAAGGCTCCAAGCGCAGCAAGCTTGGCGCAGGCCAGGTGATGGCTATTTTCCGGTGTCTGGAAAAAGGAAAGTAAATGGAGGTTACAAAAAGGGCCATGGGGTTAGTAGGTCCACTGTGCACTTATTATTATTTTTAATCATTTTTCCATCATTTTTCACTTCAATAATTCTATGGGTTAGAAGTTAAGAGGTTAAGAAGTAGAGCTATATAATAAGATGGTTAGTTCATGTTATTTCACTGGGTTTCAAATCCACTGGCATGAACCACCGGTGAGTTTACCAGGAATTGACATGATTAAGCAGTGGATGGAAAGGGGTTACTTCACATTACTGGTATGGGGATGAAAGCACAAAAAAATAAAATGCATGCTTTTTTGATCTTTTTTGATGCTTCGGATTTTCCAAATCATGAGGATTAGTCTTTCGGATTTGGAGATAACCCCAAAATCGGGATGCACATGTACATTTCTATACGCGCACAACTAACTAGCTAACGAACAAAGGAACGAACGAACGAAGAACATGAATAATTATACACATAACGACACTAAAAGGATTGAATAACTAAATCACTACAATAACAAAGAACTAACAAATAAAATCCAAAAAATATTTCAATACGTAGATCACATAGCATGATACGATCGCAAGCTGGATTATGCACTTCCAGAGCTACTTCCACAGAAAAATGAATAGAAAATGTAGAAGTAAACTGAACTCAGCAATGTGGCCCTTCACTGTAACTCTGGAAAACAGATTGGAGTTTGATCATGGGTCATTAAATGTCCCATTTTGGGAATATTGGACATCACCTTATAGTAGCCATTATAGACCATATATACCTAATGGTTGGGTGATGTTCAATGGGGACATTTAATGACCCATGTTGATTCTGCCAATTCGAGCATGTGATATTTGAGAATGTCCCCCGCCATGACGTGGTGCATCAGCAATGGTCAGGCGCCACCGATGACGGGCTCGTTGGGAGTCTCAGCCCGGGTCAAACATGAAACATGGGGAGTTGACAAATGAAAGTGATGAGCCAACAAAAGGCCGGGATGTTCGCTAGCACCGGGTGCAGTAAGATCAGTAAGTATAATATTATATATATACATATATTTATTATATACTCAAATTGATATCCTTGAATCATCTTTGATTTGTGGTTCAGTTGACAAAATCCAAGTTTCATTCCGAAGAACAGACATGCCTTCCGGTCCCAGATTCCCAGGAATGCCTTGGGAGGTTTTGGGGCAAAATGCTCCCAGTGCCCGGAGCCCCAAGCCACGTTCCGCCATGATCGATGGCTTGGAAAATCCACCATGAACCATTGGGAAAGCCAGTGATTTCCATAGCGTGAGTTTACAGGTGTGTTCAAAAAGCGATAGCCCATGGGTACCCCAATTCTATGAGGATCCACAGCCAAGGCAACGGACTCGCTTCCAAATGTGCACAATGTGGAGCTGGGCAGCTGTACTCAGACGATCCCAGGGGCGCAGCTGTTTTTTTAATATGTTTTTTGGGAGAAAGATCATGGATTATGGATATCATATAGGTAAAGGTATTATTATATATACACATGGTGTGTATTTATATATAATTATATAATTACATAGTTGTAATTACATGCACATATATATATATATACACATACCGTATGCATGGATATAATGGGGTTATGTAAGCAACCAAATAATCTGGATGTCATACTGAGAATATAATGGGATATCACCAACAATATAGGTCTGGATTGTCTCAAAATGTACGGATGTTCATCAACAAAAAAATGCTACAGCACTTGTCTTACCTGACATGGCCAAAATGGGAACAGGTCATCGTTCTACTGGATCCTGCATAGCCAGGATTTGTTTGGATCATGTCATAGCCAGGGGTCTTCCATTGCGAAAATTGATCCCAATCTTGCTGAATAATTGTGGTCAATTACGCTTTGGTAAACTAACAGAAAGATGTTGGTAAACTAACAGAAAGATGTGGAAAATCCCAAAAAATCCATGTTATTTCATCGTTTCCCCTAGGACATGATCTACTTCCATGGTGGTTTTTCCACATCTTTCGGTTTTTTAAACCGAGCCTCTCAAGGATGGAGCGCTGCGGCTACTGCAGTCAGCCTGTGTCACGGGCAAATTGCTGCTCCCGTTGAGGGGCCCAATTGCAAGTGCTGCGGATTCGGACAGTGGTTTGAACGTGGCTTGTACAATACAGATAGATAGATAGATAGATAGATAGATCGATCGATAGATAGATAGATAGATTAATTAGATAGATAGATAGATAAATACATAGGTAACTTAGATAGACAGATAGATGATAGATAGATTACTTAGATAGTCAGATAGATAGATAGATAGATAGATTACTTAGACAGATAGATAGGTAGGTAGATAGATAGGTAGAAAGATAGATAGATACAGACAGACAGACAGACAGACAGATAGATAGATAGATAGGTAGATAGATAGATAGATATAGATAGATAGATCGATAGATAGATAGATTACTTAGATAGATTACTTAGATAGATTACTTAGATAGATTACTTAGATAGATTACTTAGATAGATTACTTAGATAGATTACTTAGATAGATTACTTAGATAGATTACTTAGATAGATAGATAGATAGATAGGTAGATAGATAGGTAGATAGATAGGTAGATAGATAGGTAGATAGATAGATAGAGCGAGAGAGAGAGATATATATATAGAGAGAGAGATAGAGAGGGATAGACAGAAATCAGCAGACAGGACGGTGATTGTCTGTGAAGGTCACCCACACTCTGACTATTCTATCATGCTGTGGATTCAATGGATCAAACTTGGGATTTGATCAGCTGAAATCGCTGCCAAGGATGTCATTGCACATACTACTGCGGTCTGCGGCACTCAGAAATCAACATCGGGGTAGATGGCTTTGGCCAAGGATGGGGCACCGAAAAGGATTCCAAACTGGTCTTTTCTAAAGTTTGGGCACACACCCATTCACATACATATATATATATAATCATATATAGATATAAGTATATATATAACTATATATATATATCATATATGTACGATTATGTATGTGTGTACACATACATATTAATACTTATTATAATATATCATATGTGTAGAAACACAGAGATGCACAAGTTGCTGGGATCCCAAGGCCGGGAGTGCCAAAGATCTCATTGGAAGGTACCAGACTTAGCACTGGTGAGGATGGAGATACAGCAGGCATCTCACACAGTTCATGAAACGTATCTCCCGATGTATAGAAAACCGGGTGAATTGGTGTCCAACAAAATAACTATCCCGTTTTTCCATCACTGGGATAGTTTTCTCCCCCAGCCAGCGCCAGGTTCACAAGTTGGTGTGTCAAAGTGCTTTGGAATGAACAGATTTTGATGCTGGAGACAGCTCGGCAGCTGCCGCAAGTGCTGAGCTCACAATTCATCATGTTTCTTATGATCTGAACATGGGTGTTGGAGAGTTCCTTGTAGTGCTAAACCTCAGTTGTTTCGATTTCCCTGCTGATTTTATGAAGTGATCATTTGAATCAGCTTGGCTCAGCATTGATGATAAGCGTGCCTCTAACACAGCCCGCGAAGCACAAAAGTTGCTGAAAAAATCTGCCGACCATCTGGCACTGCATGTCAGCAGATCTTCTGAGATCTCAGGAATTCCATCATTTCAGTACTAATTATATATAGACAAATATATATATATATGATAACTATATATATATATGTGTTCCATTTTACTATATATATATATGCTATGGATGAATGATAACTATATGTCACTATATATTTAAGATGATTTGTCTATTGCAATGGCCTGGAAGGCTTCCACCTTTGGTCTTTGATCACCAAGTCCTCGCTCTCCGACTGACAAGAGCGGCAAGCCGCTTTGGAGATCGCTGTGAAACCTAATCGCATTGTCCCATTTACGAGCTTTTGTTTATCATATGGAAGATAGAACTATAGTAATAGAAATGGTTTTGTTTCATATCACCCGGGCATGCTGGTTTGCATCCTTTACATCCAACGAATAAAGAGAATAGATTCTGATGGGATGTTCGCTCAGCATGGGAAGATCAGTTGTCAGTTGGCCACATAGGCTTTGCCATGTTTTTTTACAATCTGTGCAGAAGTCCGTGGTTTGAAGCAGCAAGGAAGCTGGCATGCAAGTGTTCGGCTTTTCAACAGCTTAAAGCTGGAAGAGGATCTGAAAACTATTGGCATGTTCTGGCAAACTCCACAAGCGTCTTCCACGAGAGTTGTGGGTGTTCTTTTTCTCACCAGAGCCACTACAGCAGGTACATATATACTGTGTGTATATATATATATACATATATGCTAGCCCCCCCGCCGCTTAGTTCTTCCCCCTTCCAGACTATGTCTTGAGTATAACTTACGTTCATACTAAGCTAGCATGTCAATTTGAAAAGGTTGAGCTGTTTCAAGTAGAACGTACGTTTATGATCTTTCGACGGCTATACCGTTAAAAGAATCGGACACCATGTCTCAGCCCACCTCTCATGGACATCATCCAGGTGTTTTGTTGGTTTTCTCATGGGTTGAGCACCCTCCTTGAAAGTTACTTAAAACCATTGGCAGAAATACAACACAGCCAGGACTTGAAAATAGAATAAACAAGTTTCAGCATGGACTTGGAAGTTTGTGTTCAAAACAACATCGTCCAATATGTGCCTTATATCTATATAGATTTATTTTCAAAGAGACTTACAGCTGTGCAACGTTCTTTTGAAGGTGTAAAGGAATTTGCCGAAGGAGGACAGCATTACATATTTCAGAATGGAATCCTTTGAGTACCCATTTTTAGCGATTATGGCATTCCTTAAAGAAGTGTTGGTGAAAGTATGGGCAAAGCTTCCTTCACAAGGGAGTGAACCATTCGTTTAAAAGCATGCAATATCATGCAATAGTACAAAGAAGCATTGCGATGAAGTAGAATCCTTGGGTGTACGTCTACGTAGCATTTTTTGAAAGTCACAGGTCATGATGGTCATGGTTGTATGTGTGCAATATGCCTTCAATATGAATGAAACATCTGAACAAACCAATCAACTATGTAAGCAGCATTGACCATTGCACTTTTTGACAGCAACAATGAATGTTAATCACAAAATGCATATTGTGATTATTGTGTAGGAATCTTGTGTTTTGAAAAAAAATACTGTATGATTGAAGGAAGGCCCACTATTATTCTGAAAGGAAGATTGCGCTTCTTCGAAAGGAACACTGCATGTTTAGAGGAATGCTGTATATGTTGTAGGGATACTGTTTCTTGAAAGAAGTAATGCATTGTCTTAAAGGAACACTGCGGCTTATGAATAAAAAGTATTTTTTTGACATGGAAAGGAACACTGCCATTTACAGCATATTGTTTCCTTCAAGAAATGTTGTTGTTTTTAAAAAAAAAAAACACTGAGTATGTGCTTGTCCTTTTTGAGAGTAATCGTGTGTACTTACTTTATTTTTGCAGAAGGTTTCCAACAAATATTACCTCTTTCAGATTAGCAAAAGGCTAAAAATGGTAGATCTTTGGGGGGTGGGGGTACCACATATGTATATATATATATATACATATTATATATATACATACATATATATATATATATACATAGATATATATACATTTAAATGCTGCAACTTTTGCTGAGTTTTCTCTAAATCAGATCCTCATAATCCATGCTTTGACAAAGTTTAATCCGCTCCAGCGGGCATCTGTGCCATTTTGTGCCGCTGGAGTCTTCCACGTTGGCCGACTCCCTTTGAGGGTTCGCTGCCAAAAAGATCAGAGGCCAGAGTGTTGGGAGATGTTGTTTCTCATCCTTCCCAAATTGTCATTTGAATGTGGAAGGCAGATTTTGATTTAGTCCAGGTTGATGAATGTGGGGAAGCCTCATAAACCCTGCCCCCAGGCAATCAAACATGGCTTGCCGGGAAATCTCATTTTTAGATACTGTTCGCATGGAAACCTCGATTTGTAGGGGGAATTCCCTGTGCCATACATTGCCATGTTAATACAAGGCATGACCTCGCTTCAGTGATGGGTCGCAGGACTACACCACTGACAGTGGATGGGAGCCGGGCTCCGAGTCAGATGAGATTTTGGATGTTTGGGGGTCATTCCAAGCTGGTAGTTCGTTAACAAGTGGAATAACATGCGGTTTAATGGGAATCTAGTAGGGATGCACTGGGATAGTGATGAGATCTACTACCCAAGAATCTGAAGAAGTTGCAATTTAAATGAAAGTGATGATAACCCTCTTGGATTCTCAGAGAACTCTATTTCCAAACAACCCCCATATTATACCCGTACCTCATTCATAAATGGAATAAGTCTGCGACAAAAATTGAACTTAGCCATCAGGGTGATGGCAATAACTTACCAATTGGGATGATCCATTGGATTTTCTGGTAATCAAACGAGGCAATGGGTCATCAAGCAATTCCAGGTTCAATTAGTACCCTGCCATTTCTCTCCAAGTAGATGGTCTTTCTCAAATTTCTGTTGCAATAAACCACCACCATTTCTCAAAAAATGAAGGTTTAGGTCAGGTATAACTCAATGCTTGGAAACTTCCCAGTCCAGGCTTAGACTGTTTCATCCGCAAAATGCGACCAATCGTCACCAGTCCGTTTATTAAGGCCCTGGAAAAAAAACATACCCATACCGCGAGGTCAAAAGAGCCGCAGCAAGTCTCTTGAAGGGCTGCGATCGCAGGACGTGGAGTAGCAGGATGTTTATTTTTTCACAACATTTCGCAACAAAAAGGGAAGCTCAAGCTGCAAACAACCCATTGAATGGGTATTTAAGATGGTAACATGTTAACCCACCAAACATTGAGTCAAACCATGTTAAAACCACAAAAAAAGGCTGAGTCAACCCAGCAAAAATCCGACAAAATGTGGAGTTTGCCTTGCAATAACCGGGGTGATAACAACCCACAAGAATGATCAAGGACCCAGGATAGGTTGTCGGTTGGGAGGCTGATGGTGGCCCCCAAGAACAAGACAAGTTACAAAATGTTACAAAAAAGTAGCTAGGGAAAGTTAACACCTCCCAGCAACTGTAGAAGTTCAACAGTTTGCCATGACTGCTAGGAAGCTGTGAACCCAGTGAACCCGTAGAGTGCTCAGCAGAATTCTGGGATTGTGATGTTCGGGTAGAATCAAGATCTTGTCCAGGAATGGAAAATCAAACAGGTGCCCGTTGGAACTTTATTCTTGATAATGATGATAATGCAACATCAGCCAGTCGTACAATAGATGATTTCCATTCAAGTTGTTCCCATTGCCAAGTTGTAGGTTACGACAAGGGAGGACTTTGCTGGAAGATGCAAAGTTGGCAGATGCCTGGGATTAAATGTAATGTCCATTGATTCAGATGTGCGACATGCACGGGCTAGACGCTCACTAGCACAAGATGGCGGATGAGAGGCAAAGGTGTTCCGATGCAGGTGATATATACATACAAAGAATACTCTCTGTGTCAGCTGTTTGCCGCAAGTATGTTCTGCAATTGGACACAATTGTTCGTGCTAGGGTGCATCATTCGTGCACTGGTCTGACAATGACTATTTCTTGGAGAAGTGTGCTTACAGCAATTGGGTCAAGCTGCTACTTGTAGTCAACTCTATACCGTATACTGCCGTATACGGTATATAATATATATATATATATATATTAATATATAGTTATATTGTATAATTTAATAACATCTATCAATGTTGTTCATATTAGTCGTGTTTTGAAGGGCAGTTACGGTATCCTTTTGTCATTTGTCACCTTCCGGCACTATATTTTCTCAGGTCTGACGCATCCAACGAGCCGTTGATCATGAGGTGCGGAGTTGGTCTCACAGCACAGATCTTGGACTTTTGAAAAAAGTTTGGGTCATCTTTCGCACGGCATCTAAATAATATCAAATGGGTATGGATCAATACCTCTTAATACCATTTTCAGGGGGATGAACATCCATTTACCAGCTATTTTGGGGTTCACTAGGTACCAGGGTTTTGACCCATCCCCAAATAATCAAGTTCAACAATGTGCCAAGTTCAACAGCGTTTGACAGTGTCTGACAGGCCCAATCTTGATGCTCGTTTGCAGGCCCGCCGATGGATTTCTGAACCCAAGGGGCGCCCAAATCCATTGGTTCGCGGGTTGTTGGTGGAACCCACTGTCTGAACCTTGTTCAGATCCGAACATGCCACTGGTAAGTCAAATCCCCCATGGAAAATTCCATTTTGTTTCACACAAATTCTTGGTTCTATCTACCGTTCTATCTACCGTTCTATCTCACCATGTTCGAGCTCGCTCGCTTCTATCCACACGGGAAGGTGAAATGAAATCCATGCATCCAGTGAGAAAAATATGAGGAAATCCACATGGCTATGAAAAACCACATGTTTTTGCCGGTCGAATCAATACTCTTGCCAGTTATATCCCCATCTAAACCCATGGTTTTTTTGGCCAAACAAGCTGTTTAAATCATGATGTTTCCATATATGAGATTCATATAATTCATGAATATGCATTCAAATCCTCATTTATCGTTGAATTAATATTTGATAATATGTGTTGTCTTCCTGAGCTCCAAAAAAAGTGAACAGTGCCATTTTCACCGAACAGGCCGCGGTGGCCGCTGTAGTGCCACAGCCAAAGGCTGTGGCCTTAGCGCCCCAGGTGCCACGGCGGATTCCGGGAATGGGGAGAATTTTCACCAGGAAAAGGTTGGGATTTTTAGCGAGACTGATATGGTTTAACCATGTTTAACCGTTACCAAAAATCAAGCCAAGATAGGGGTACCAGATGGTATGGCAGTGCCAATTTCTCAAAACAATCTAAGTCTATCATTTTGATCATTCACTCCAACTTGAGGTGGTCCAAAATGTTGAGCCAATGTCATGTATGAATATGTATGAATGTAAATCCACCAGATGAGAGAGTGCCATAAAGATGCTTTATAAAAATGCTTTAAAATGCTTACTGCCCAGTAAAGTAACAAGACCCTTCTGGAAGACCCACCAGAAATGTAGACCTTCCGACGAAGTCTCCAAGCCGCACCCTGAACTGCAGGGCATCACCGAGATCGCATCCGCAAGAGCAGGTTGGGATGGTTAGGTACAAAAAAACTGGGGGTGGTAAAGAAACAATAGTGGATATGTGATATACTACTTGGTAATGCTTAATCATATAGTGGTTAATAGTGGATAATAACACTTGGGAATAAACACAAACAGAAATTTCAGAGGATCGTCTCACTGGAGACGGAAAATTTTTGGCCGGAAAAATTGGACCCCAACAAAGCTTGGAAAATCATCTTCAAAAAGTGTCTGTTATATCCTCTATCCTTTTAATTGTATCTGCTGTTGCTGACGTTCCCAAAAATTTGCCCATCCCTTCACTGGTTGAAGATGCTTAGGAAGCCCTGGTCCACTGCTTTACGCGTCAAGGACTTGGTGGTTTGCCCTCTCGGAAACATTTATTCAACACCAGAGCGTTGGAAGATTAAGCTTCCACAGAAAATTTAGCCAAATTTAGCATGTTTTCTTCGGGTCTATGTGAATTTATCCGGGGGGTGGTTGTCCTGTGGATTTCTGCTATGCGGCTGTGTATCCAATCTCTTGGATGATCCCATCTCAATCTGGCTGGAAGCCGCATATTTTTTCGTACGTTCGCCTGTCCGTTGGATGTGGGCGATGACACTGAAATCCTAAAGTTGGTTGCAGAGAACGTCGAGACTTAGAAGATTCTTTGTATTTATATTTAAAAAATAAGGCAGTGACCAAGCAATTTAATGGTGAAATCAGACATAGAAATAAAATCAATACCCTATAATGTATATATATATAGGGTCAACTAACAACCTGTACCGTGGTTGTATATGGCAAGACATGGCAAGCCTTGCCATGTGAATACTCAGGCGGCCCGGCTGCGTTGTGACACGGCCAGCGAGTCCCCCTATAGGTTCCGTGGTGACATTGGGAGCAACTTGTAAAGGCGAAGACTGACTTCCATTTGTTGAATGAAGACAAACTCTTTTCCATGTTACATTCATACATTCATGAATATATTTAACATAAATAGTTAGAACTATGATGTATTTATATGTATTTATCATATTTTACACATTGTTTCCATATGTATCAGGCATTCTTAGATTCCCCTTCATCCTCAACACTCACTCCAGACTTCCAGATACTCGTTCTGCCAGGTCGACATCCATCGCAGGCGGGGATATTGGGATATGACCAATGATCCTAGGGATACATACATCATCATACATCATATATTATATATGTATGTAATGTATGTATAACGTGATAATATGTATATATATATATGTGGCAGGGACCTTTTGGTATAATGCGACCGTCCTCCTTGTCTCCCCATATTGTATTGCTGTTCTTTCTCTGGCTGCTCTCTCTCTCTCTCTCTTTCTCTTTCTGTTTCTCTTTTTTTTTTTCTCTCTCTCTCTCTCTCGCTCTCTTTCTTGCTGTTCTTTTCTCTGCGTGCATTTTTGGGCATACGATTCTCTTCGTCTCCCATCTGTGTCCCTACTTGTCTCCCTTGTTCTCTCCAATTTGTATCCTTAATTCCCTCACCATTGCTATTCTTCTCATTTCTTCTCTTAGGCTGCTTTCTGTACTTGTCTCTTAATTGTTGTGCTCGTCTCTGTGCGCTTTGGGACGAAACCTATTGTCCATTACATTCCCCCATCCTCCTCGGTCTCTGCTTCCTCTTGTCTTTCCTCTTCCCTTTCTTTCCTTACTTGTTCATCTATTCTTTCCCAGTGCTTTCTTCACCCTCATTACAGTTGTTATCTCTGGGTGCTTTTAGGACCCAAGATTCTCCTTGCCTCCCATGTGTTCCAATTTGTGTCCTTATTCAGCCAATTTTTCTCCCTTTTCTTACTCCATTTTACTTTCCTAATCATTCTACTCTCTCCGTTGCTGTTTCTGTCTAGGCTTTAGAACCTTCAGGTGCTTTGGGGCCATAAACATTACCGAGTCCATCATCCGGGTCACCAGCATTTTGGGACGGAGAGGATAGTTTTTCTCCTCTTTCCTTTCTTTCCTTACTTGTTCCTCTAGTTTTTCCCAATGCTTTCTTCGCTTCTCTCCTCATTAATTACTGTTGTTCTCTCTGGGTGCTTTTGGACCCTGGACTCCTGATTCTTCTCGTCTCCCATTTGTGTCCGTGTTTGTTCCCCTTGTTCTCTCCAAGTTGTATCCTTCATTCCCTTCCCATTGCCATTCTTCTACCAGGCTGCTTTGGGAAGAATGGATTTCCTGGTCTTTGTTTCTCCCTACTTGCCTTCCTTTGTGGAAGTCTGTGTGATTTGGGACGAAACCATACGAAACCCATTATCCGTTACTCCGTTACATTCCCTTACCCTGGGTCCCTACCATATGTTACCCTACTTGCCTTTCTACTAGTCCCCAACTTGTCTCCTTATCATCTCTCCACTACCGTGCTTCTTTCCAGGTCTCCAGCATTTGGGACGGAGAAGAGAGCTTTTATCCTCTTTCCTTTCTTTCATTACTTGTTGCTCTAGTCTTTCCCATTGCCTTCTTCACTTCTCTCCTCACTACCGTTGTTCTCTTTAGGTGCTTTTGGGACCCAAGATTCTCCTTGTCTCCCACGTGTGTCTAGGCTTTAGGACCTCTAGGTGCTTTGGGGCAATAAACATTCCCGAGTCCTTCATTTGTGTTGCAGTCCTCCTCTCTCCATTCCTTTTGTCCATCCCTGTTACTGTTCTTCTTCCTGGATGCTTCTGGGCACAGGATACTCTTCGTCTCTTCGTCTCCCATTTGTTTCCGTGTTCGTTCCCCTTGTTGTCTCAAACTTGTTTCCGTACTTCTCTATCTATTGCTATTCTTTTCTCTGGGTACGTTTGGGACGCAAAGTTCTCCTTGTTTTCCACCTGTTTCCGTGCTTGTCTCCCTTTTTGGCTCCTACTCCCTGCCTGAGTTCTCTTTCTCTGGGTGCTTGATGGCAGCGCATTCTTCTTGTCTGTCATTTGTTTCCATGCTTAGCTGCTTGTCTCCTTGTTTGTTCTACTACTCCCCCCCCGCGCTCAGTGTTCTTCGTTTGGTTGCTTTGGGTACAGGACTCTCCTTGTGTCCCATCTGTTTCCGCGCCCGTCTCTCTGCTTGTTCCCAACTTGTTTTGACACTTCTCTCTTCATTGCTGTTGTTCTCTCTGGGTGCTTCCGGCGCACAGGATGCTCCTTGTCCCTTGTCTGTTTCCGTACTTGTCGTCCTTGTTGTCTCCATTTCGTGCCCTTCTTTCTTTCTGTCTTTCTTTTTTTCTTTCATTCTTTCTTTTTTTCTTTCTTTTTTTCTCTCTCTCTCTCTCTCTCTTGCTGTTCTTCTTTCTAGGTGCTTGTTGGGACCCCTGATTCTTCTCGTCTGCCATCTGTTTCCGTACGTGTCTTCCTTGAAATCTCCAAGTCGTATACTTGTCTCCCTTGTTCTCTCCAAGTTGTATCCTTAATTCCCTCCCCGTTGCTATTCTTCTCTCCGGCTGCTTTGGGAAGAATGTTTCTCCCTACTTGTCTTCCTTCGTATAAGTCTCCTTGCTTGTCTCTCAATTGCTGTGCTTGTCTCTGTGTGCTTTGGGGCGAAACCTATTATCCGTTACATTCCCTTACCCTCGGTTACTACCACATGTTACCGTACTTGCCTTCCTACTTGTTTCCAACTTATCTCCTTATCATCTCTCCACTACCGTCCTTCTTTCCGGGTCTGCAGCATGTGGCACGGAGAGCAAGGTTTCTTTCCTCTTCCCTTTCTTTCCTTACTTGTTCATCTATTCTTTCCCAGTGCTTTCTTCACCCTCATTACAGTTGTTATCTCTGGGTGCTTTTGGGACCCAAGATTCTCCTTGCCTCCCATGTGTTCCAATTTGTGTCTTTATTCAGCCAATTTTGCTCCCTTTTCTTACTCCATTTTACTTTCCTACTCATTCTACTCTCTCCGTTGCTGTTTCTGTCTAGGCTTTAGAACCTTCAGGTGCTTTGGGGCCATAAACATTACCGAGTCCATCATTTATGTCCCTTCCGTCACCTTGTTGCAGTGCTCCTCTTTCCATTCCTTGTTGTCCCTCCCTGTTACTGTTATTCTTCCTGGGTGCTTCTGGGCACAGGATACTCTTCGTGGTGCTCGATGGCAAAGGATTCTTCTTGCCTCCCATTTGTTTCCATACTTGTCTCCTTGTCTGTTCCCAACTTGTTTCTTTATTTTTCTATCTCCATTGCGATTCTTCTCTCCGGGTGCTTTTGGTCAAAGGAATCTCCTCGTCTCCCGTTCCTCTCTCTCCATTGCTCAGTGTTCTTCGTTCTGGTGGCTTTGGGGACAGGACTCAAGTCTCATCTGTTTTCGTACTCGTCTCTCTACTTCACTCTCACATGTGGCTGTTCTCTCTGGGTGCTTCCGGGGGACAATATGCTCCTTGTCCTCTGTCTGTCTCCGTGCTTATCCCCCTTGTTCTCTCCAACTCGTGCCCTTATCTTCTCTCTCTCTCTCTCTCTCTCGCTGTTCTTCTCTCTAGGTGCTTATTTGGACACATGATTCTCTTCGTCTCCCATCTGTTTGCGTACTTGTCTCCCTTGTTCTCTCCAAGTTGTATCCTTAATTGCCTCCCCCTTGCTATTCTTCTCATTTCTTCTCTTAGGCTGCTTTCTGTACTTGTCTCTTAATTGCTGTGCTTGTCTCTGCGTGCTTTGGGACGAAACCTATTATCCGTTACATTCCCTTACCCTCGGTCACTACCACATGTTACCCTACTTGACTTCCTACTTGTCCCCAACTTGTCTCCTTATCATCTCTCCACTACCGTGCTTCTTTCCGGGTCACCAGCATTTTGGGACGGAGAGGATAGTTTTTCTCCTCTTTCCTTTCTTTCCTTACTTGTTCCTCTAGTTTTTCCCAATGCTTTCTTCGCTTCTCTCCTCATTAATTACTGTTGTTCTCTCTGGGTGCTTTTGGACCCTGGACTCCGTGTTTGTTCCCCTTGTTCTCTCCAAGTTGTATCCTTCATTCCCTTCCCATTGCCATTCTTCTACCAGGCTGCTTTGGGAAGAATGGATTTCCTGGTCTTTGTTTCTCCCTACTTGCCTTCCTTTGTGGAAGTCTGTGTGATTTGGGACGAAACCATACGAAACCCATTATCCGTTACTCCGTTACATTCCCTTACCCTGGGTCCCTACCATATGTTACCCTACTTGCCTTTCTACTAGTCCCCAACTTGTCTCCTTATCATCTCTCCACTACCGTGCTTCTTTCCAGGTCTCCAGCATTTGGGACGGAGAAGAGAGCTTTTATCCTCTTTCCTTTCTTTCATTACTTGTTGCTCTAGTCTTTCCCATTGCCTTCTTCACTTCTCTCCTCACTACCGTTGTTCTCTTTAGGTGCTTTTGGGACCCAAGATTCTCCTTGTCTCCCACGTGTGTCTAGGCTTTAGGACCTCTAGGTGCTTTGGGGCAATAAACATTCCCGAGTCCTTCATTTGTGTTGCAGTCCTCCTCTCTCCATTCCTTTTGTCCATCCCTGTTACTGTTCTTCTTCCTGGATGCTCCTGGGCACAGGATACTCTTCGTCTCTTCGTCTCCCATTTGTTTCCGTGTTCGTTCCCCTTGTTGTCTCAAACTTGTTTCCGTACTTCTCTATCTATTGCTATTCTTTTCTCTGGGTACGTTTGGGACGTAAAGTTCTCCTTGTTTTCCACCTGTTTCCGTGCTTGTCTCCCTTGTTGATCCATTGCTCAGTGTTCTTTGTTTTGGTTGCTTTGGGGAAAGGACTCTCGTTGTGTCCCATCTGTTTCTGCGCCCGTCTCTCTGCTTGTTCTCAACTTGTTTTGACACTTCTTTCTTCGTTGCTGTTGTTCTCTCTGGGTGCTTCCGGCGCACAGGATGCTCATCGGATGCTCCTTGTCCATTGTCTGTTTCCGTACTTGTCGTCCTTGTTGTCTCCATTTCGTGCCCTTCTTTCTTTCTTTCTTTCTTTCTTTTCTTTCTTTCTTTCTTTTCTTTTCTTTCTTTCTTTCTTTCTTTCTTTTTTTCTTTCTCTCTCTCTCTCTCTCTCTTGCTCTTCTTCTTTCTAGGTGCTTGTTGGGACCCCTGATTCTTCTCGTCTGCCATCTGTTTCCGTACGTGTCTTCCTTGTTCTCTCCAAGTTGTATACTTGTATCCCTTGTTCTCTCCAAGTTGTATCCTTCATTCGCTCCCC